ATCAACTAATAGATGAAGTTGGAATGTTAAGAGGCTTAATGATAACCCAGGGAAATCATTAAGATCTTATCATAGCAAGTGAGAGGTATCCTCAAGATTCTACCCAATCAAAGCATGCTCTACATCCCTCCTAAGGAGAGATGGAAATTCTTTGGGGGACCTTATGTCATGGGATGGAATAGAGGCACAAGAAGCTCTCTATGTTTGACAGAAGAAATCAGTCTACTCTAAAGCTCTCTCTATATCTCCTATCTCCTAAGTCTTCATTAAGCATCTTCAAGCACAAGCAACTTCAAGCTCCAAGAATCAATATTTGTCTCCAATCATCCTCAAAGTATTCATGAGCTCCAACAAGCCAAACTCAAGCCCAACACCCAATTGAAATGCCCAAAACCCAATAAACAAAACAACATCCCAAGAGGGAAACACACCAATATCACCCAATTTGCAAAAATCAAATAAAAGGGAAATACTCATCATAAAATCCTAGATTAATTTCTAAGGGACCCTAACTATGTACCCTATACCCCACATAAACCCCAAGGCCTAAATTAAATTAAAAACCCATAAACTATGTGTTGAAATGCACCTATGTGAGTTGAAACCCTAATTCTAGCACACTTGCTTCACACCTCTCAAACACAATTAAATTTAAGTCACAAAAATGTGACAAAAATTCAGGGGTAACCTAATTCTATACTCTAACCATAGCAAAAAGAACCAAGTTAAAATTCTAAATCAAATGACCATACAAAATTCAGAAAGTAGAAGTATCAAATGAAAATGAAATAAAAGCACTTAAACTTGTAAAAATGCCATAAAAAAGAAAAAATGCATGAATTAATCTTTTTATTCTTTTATTATTTTCTACAGGTCTTAATGAAAATAGGCAAAAAATTTCCAACCAAAAAAATTAATTTTTCAATTTATTATGGATTTTCTAAGTAACCTAAATGAAATGAAAAAAACTAAAATGAAAATAAAAGAAAATGAGAAACAAGCGTGTCAAATAGCAATTAAAGCTAGTTCAGATCCAGAGATGGGCCCATAAGGGGGTGGGGATAGAAGCGCGTGTATTAGGCCCAAACATTATTCAGAAAATGCAATGAAAATCCCAGGAAAAAGGACAAATTCACGGTACGAATAGCAAGCGAATGTAGTGTAATTCAAGTGGGCCTCTAAAGTAGGGTGTTGGTATCAGTTTTCACTTAAGCCCAATGCTTCATAATAAGTGATACAGTGTGTTTTATCTTCAACACTCCTCTTCATAAACTGAAACGAATTCGTGGCCCTTGGATGTGGTGCTTGGTCAAAGTCATACTCGTATCCAATGGTGCCTGCATCATCTTCTTCCTTTGAATTGTCCAGGAGGGAAAAAGCCATGGAAGAACAGAGCAATGAACTTCATCTTCTCCAATTCGCAACTCCATTAAATCCTCATCAAACATCAAAATTAAACACCCTAACTTACTTGAAATTTCACCCTGAATCTAACTATGCTAATCATGATCAGTGAAACTCATCCTAACTCAAATCACGATGGAATTCTCAGAAATCACTCAAGAATCAATTCACACCAAACTCCAAATTATTAGGTCTATCATCAACACCATGCTTCACTGAGTTCATTCCACAATCAGATTATGATTATCCTTCAAGATTCACCAAGATACACTCAAGAACAGAAATCATGTCAATCCACTAATTCTCTCTAAACCTTGCCAATTGCTACCAGAAAGCTGCCTACAATCATCTACAATGAGCCTAACCTAACAAAACCTAAAGAAACTACATGGATGAGGCTGTAGGATGAGATTTACATACCTGCAAATTCTTGATGAACAGAACGACAAAACCTCCAAATTAAGCTCCAAGATTCTCTAGATACAATCTATGAATGGTAATCAAGCTTCTGTATGCATCAAATTTGGTTGAATCCCTCTGAATCCTTGAATTCGATCTTGAGTTGCAGATGAAAAATTCCAAATGCTATCTCACAATTCTTCAGTGTTCTTGCTATGTATTCTATCTGGAATCAATCACCAATGCTAGAGCAAGCGTCTGAACACAAAAGGAATGATTGAAAGTGATGGAATCGTGTAGCAGAATTCTGTTTTGCAAGAAGAAAGTTGAAAATGCAATCTCTCAAATCTCTCTCAATTCTCACCAACCTATGCATTGAACTGACTCAGAACTACATATAGAGAATGAATGAATGATCTAGAACCTTCTGGATTGATCTAATGAGAAATTCACCATCTCTTGCTCTTGAAAATATCATGAGAAACTCAAACATAGCAGCTGAATTTTTGCTTGCTTCAAGGCCTTGGTTCTGATCCAAATTCTCATTAGGTGACATATTGAATGTGTTAGGATTCACTAAAGCCTTGGTTATGCCTTACAAAGTGATTTTGCATATGTGCCTTATGATGCAAGTAACCATTTTACAAAGCAAGTCCTTAAATTATCCCTCAACTCAAAAATGTGGCAATGTCAATGTTCTCAAAATGTATTTTACAATCAAATTGGTATGTCATATTGCTTGGTTTGGATTTGTAGGTCAAAAACCCCAATTTTCATCCTTGGTTCATTTAAAATTTACCCTTATTTTAAGCCATTTTTGTGATTTTGTGAAGCAAGCCATTTCAGGTTCTCATGACCTCTTATCTAGCCCAAAAACATCATTTTGAACACATCTCATGTTGAACATTTTTCCATTTGAGGAGTGGAAGATAGAGATTTTGACCTATGTTGGAAAATGACCTGTAATTCAACTTTCCCAAAATACCCTTGGATTGCCAAGACCATAACTTGAGTTCTACAAATCCTCTTGAGGACTTCTAGTACTAAAATTAAAGATAAGATCAATATCTACAACTCTTATGTTGGCCAAGAATCCATTTGAAATCTCCTTGATGTGAAAAAGTTGCTTGAAAGTCAAGTGACTTTCACAGATAAATTTCAGTGTCCTCTGGGGACCCATAACTTGCAAGAACCATAACTTGAGCTCTACAAACCTTCTTTAAGACTTATAGTACTCCAATTAAAGCTATTGAGAAGCTCTACAAGTTTCATGTTGACCAAGAATCCATTTGAAAACTTTCATGTTTACTTATCTGGCTTGGAAGTGAGGCCTAAATCAGGGGATTTTGCACTAAAACCCTAATTTGGCAACTCCTCCTACTCTTGATTCTCTTTGATTTATCCTTGGCACAACACCACACTTGTATAAACATATCAATTCATGAATCCCACATCCTTCAACTAAGCCTTGATGCTCTTCAATCACTCAGTTGACCTAGGGTTGACCTAGGGTTGACCCAGATGAAACCCTAGTTGATTGTACTTCAACTCTGGCTCTTGTACTTGTATCAATGACTTGTCTCATCTTCAAAATGACCTCTAGGTATTCCATGATCTTTGTGCACATTCCATACCCTCAATTCATAGTTCATACTCCATTGATGATACTCAATATACCTCAAATTAGGAGAGAAATCCACTGGTTGACCCTCAAACTTTTCAAAGCTTCAACTCATTTCTTGATTACTTGGATGGTCTTGAGCTTGAATAAAAACCCCTTGATGTGCCTCTTTTGATAATAATGGCACTTGGTTCCTTTTTAGATAACTTGTTATGCTATGCTATGCAAATGATTGGGCTATGTACATGGTTGACTATGCAAATGATAATGCAATTGAAACATAAACCAGGTGAAATAGGTTGAGCAAATTTTAGGGTGCAACATCTCTTAAGAGCTCCAATGTTTACTCCTGAAGAGAATTAGGGTCTTCTTGGTGACGAACATGGTCATTTAAGGAATGGCCATGGCTTTTATGACAAGTGGATCTTCAATTGGGTTTTAAGGATCCTCTCAACGAATGTCGCAGGTTCACTTTAACGTAAAATTCATTAGAGAATTTAAGCCCGGAGATTAAGCTCTTTTGAGGATTTTTCAATTCAAGTTTTAAACACAATTTCCTAAACGCCTCCCTCAACAAATTCAAAAGCTTCATATGTTAAAAATCATGCTTATGGTAAAATTCATCTCAAGTCCAAGATACCATTACAATACTCAAGGGGGGGGGGGGCTCTCCAACACAAAGGCGGGAAGCTAAAATCTGTTTTTGAAGTCCAACCAAGTCTTCATTATCAATTCCATTGCGTACCTATGTTGGAACAGTTACCGAAGGAGAAAATGATTCGCATAACAAGTTTACATTGGAGAATTTGACTTAATATATGGTTTTTCTTTTTGAGGTTACAATATTAACGTTACAAATGTTTCATTGGTTAATACCCTGTGAATACAAAATAACATGAATGCAAAGACTGAGACTTGCGAACTAATTTAATCCAATTTATTCAAGAGCTACAAAGAGAAGAATCTGGGCCTAAAACCTAGATAACAACAACGTCATCGCGGGATCCACGCTGCACAAACTGTAGCTACGCTGATTTGCATCGAAAGAAGATCGTGAACTTAATACGCTACGAGAGCCACGAGGGATAGCCTTCCGCGTTCCTCAAACTTATGAGTTACGATCCAATTACGTTTCACACATCTTCAACTAGCATGTTTGAAGCTGCAAATTAAATGAGCGCGGTTAACGGCCGTGGTTCGACACTAATGGTGAAGTTCAGAAGAGAAATTTCAGAGCTAAATTCCATACCCGTGAGAAGTCATCGGCCATTTACTTCTGAATTTGAGAAAGGAAGCAGTAACTCAGTAATCCACACGAGGGAACTGGGGGCAGAAACCAATTGATAACCTTTGTTCTCCTTACTCGTTAATATGGAACCGTCGTACGCCTGCACCAGCCATCATCGATATTTTCGGTTTAGCTCTTTAACTCATCAGGAACCAGTTCCGGCAACCTGCAATGTCACACCTGCTAAATTAACAGAAACAAAATCAGATCTGCACTACTGAATTTCAGATCCTCCATTTGATTCAGTTCAATAAACATTTTCCTCATTTCAATTATCATTCGAACAAAATGGTCGTTCTTGCTGCATCCATTGTCGGCATGTCTGGTAAAGTGCTAGTTTCTAGACAGTTTGTGGATATGTCTCGTATAAGAATTGAGGGACTTCTAGCAGCATTTCCCAAGTTGATAGGCACTGAAAAACAACACACATATATTGAGACTGAGAACATGCGCTATGTTTACCAACCATTAGAAGCTCTTTATCTGCTACTCGTAACAAACAAACAGAGCAACATACTGGAAGATTTGGATACTTTGAGACTTCTCTCAAACTTGTCCCTAAATAGTCTTATTCCCTTGGTGGAGAGGGTATCTACAGACATGCCTTTGAGCTGATTTTTGCGTTTGATGGAGTCATCTCTCTTGAACACGAGGAAAACGTGACTGTTGCACGAGTTAAGATATACTGCGTGATGGAAAGTCACGACGAGAAGCTACACAAGCTCGGTTACTGCAGAGAGCATGGAAATCAAGTTAAAATACATAATTTGTTCACCGACAACTAAGCACAATCTCAAAGTGATGGCTTACCTGATAGAATACCAATTGACCTGCATCAAACACCAAATTCAAGCCACCATCCAACCTTTCCAAACGTGACGATAACAAGGCACATTTAATTAAAACCCACAAAGAAGAAATGTGCATACCGGTGACAGTGGTACACCCTCTCTAATGAAGTGAAAAAATCTAAACCCTGTTACAAGATGGGAACAGGTATCATTTGCTACAGCGTGAGCTTTGATACGCAACATTTGCTGTAATGGAGCCTTATTGTCCGTCATTTCAAAAGACGAAAGAAAGAGCTAGTAGCTCAGACAACCAAGAAACCATCATCATCCTGCAGAGCCAGATTTATTAGACCACAGTTAGAAAGCAAGAGATTAATTAAGTAAGCAAAGCGTTGGTTCAGGTTCCAACTGCTTACGGCACATTTTAAGTCAACATGGTAATGGATAGGATATAAGCAACTGTCAGTATTAGAAGGGTACTTAACTTGGCTGTAGACGTTGATATGCAAGTTGCCTCTGCTATGTCACTTGATCTTTGAAGAGTTACCCCAATGGCCAGCATGATGATCCTACGAAACACACTCATCCCTGCAAAAAGGAATTCGCAATGTTGATTAACCCAATGGCATAATGTATGACAGACCATAGCAAGTCACTTAAGGATAAAATAAAAGGAAACCCGAGTGAGGATAATTGGTGATAACCTTACGATCCCGTCACAGAAACCTGTAGCGATGTATTTAAAGATTAACTAACATGATAGGATGAGAGAAACCGGTAAGAAAGGAAGTGCGAAAGATTAGTGAATTCCTTGCTACGAATAAGAGCCGTCAAATCCACATCCATGAGCTGCTAGCTTCGGTAGGAGGTCCATGGCAAGAGTTTGTTCAATATTATCAAACCATCCTCTCGGTAAGCTAAAGAAATAGCTGTTGTTTCTATTAGCCTGCTATGAGAGTGTTGTCAGTATAATCTAATGAAGGTAGATACACGAATTAAACCGCGGTTTGAGGAGCTTACCCGGAGGCCAGAAGATCTTTGAGGCAGAACCGCGGAAGATTTCAAAGGATTGGAAGTACGCGAGCTTGCCAAAGTAAATCAAGTGAGAAGCGTTTGTGGTTGTACATTCTCAAATATTCCCAAAACGTGCTTCAGAAAGGCAAGCTTCTTTCCCCATTTGGCTCAACACAAAACCTGGAAAGGAAACATAAAAATCCACATCAATAAACCGCTGACAAGACCATCCAACATGTCATAGCATGTCGGAGCAGAAACGGAAAGTTTTTGAAACAACTACATGACAAAAAGGAGAATTCAATACCTGAGCATCAACGGTTATTGGAGATTTCGCAGCAGACAAGATCAGATATTCATCAATAGCCTTGTCTCTCCCCAAAACAGGATTCGACAACTTAACTCTGGGCATTCATGTTCAAAATCTGAATTCAATGCACTCCACCTATAAAACAAAAGGGGATATTTCAGAACAAAGGAGAGAAAAAAATCGACAATTCCACAAGAATCCCAATCTCTAACCCTAAAATTTGTAAATCAAAAAGAGAGAAGGACTTATCTCCCCTCCTCCGCCACCGATACCCCACGAGAAACCCTTCGTGCTTCTCCCTCTTCGATCACCGTGAATCCATGAGCCATCCGTCCAAACCGCGATCCAAGCCTTTGTCTTCACCACCCATGGCGTCATCTCTGAAAAGCATCATCACCCGCCGCGCTCATCGTCATAAAAAGCCGTCATCGTCGACGAAAGTCATCATTTCTGCCCCTCAGAACCTGCAAAATCTTTTTTTGTTAATTGATTTTTGCTAACATTTTCATTGTTTTGTTGCATGTTCATAGAAGAAGAGGAAAATGACGGAAGCGATCGAGAGAACAAAGACGGAGAAAGAGAGGGGTTGATAAGAGACGAGGAGAAGGAATCAAAAGAAGGGGAGAAGTAATGGAAGCCGACGGAAAAGAAATGGGGATTAGGGTTTGTTTTTTTTTATTTTGTTTATATTATTGTAATCCTGTGTATGCACCCACACACGCATACGGTGCTACCTCATGCGATCACCATGCCCCTCACCAAACCATCATCATGCGGTCACAAATGCACACACGCACGATGCACCTTCGCAGATCACCCACACACAAACCCGTCTATTTCCCTAATCCGCCTCCTAACCTCTTCGTTAACCCCTAATCTCCCCCTAATTAACCTAGTAATCAATATTTAATCTAATTAATTAATTCATTACATAATCATTAACTTCTTTAAAATTAATTAACCTAATCAATTCACCTAATTTTGAAATTTGACTAACCTTTTAATTAACCAATTTATTAACTTAATCCTGTTAATATATCAACTTAATTAATCACCTTTTTATCCGTTTTTAATTAATTAACAACTAAACCTTTTTTTTAGCTTTTAAATTTAATAGCCTGCTTTTATTTTATTTTTATGCACCAATTTATTTCATTTCAATTTTAATCCCTATTTTAATATAATCCGCTCATATTCTAGCATCATTTCATATTTAAAGTAACCCATTATTTAGTAGGGTAAGCTTAAATTAACTTGTTTTTTTAATCAATAAAACTTTTTTTTAACTATCTCTATCATAATAATTAATGGAAAAAAAACCTACTCCTTTTCTTAAAAAAATAATAGTTAATAATAACTTTTAAAACAAATAACTTTTTATAACAACAACACAATAAAACCATTTCACTAATTTATAAACCAAAATTACGATAATATAAGTTTTCTTAAGAAATTTAACCAAAACTCATTTCATATTAATCAATTTATTTTGTTCTAGTTACTAATAATAATCTTTTATCTAAATTAACCTTTATTAATAAAAAAACTAATAAACCCTTTATTTAAAACAACCATTTTTTTTATATCATAATAATAACCAAACGTACTTTTGTTAAGAAAATAATAATAATAATCTACATCAACTTTAGTTAAAAACTAATTCATCTTTCAATTTAACTTTTCTCTAAAAAATCAACTTCATCAACTAATCGACTTAAAACTAATACCATATTTTCTCACATTTTCTCATAAACCAATTCGTATAAATTAAGTCCAATATAATTTCTCCTATAACCAAATTCAACTAAATAACTAAAATCATAGTCAACATCATAATTTAACTCAATCGTGCACGCTTACACTTCACAATTCACTCTCACACACTTCAGCGCTTTCATGCGTATATGAATGTTTTATCTATTTGCCCTTTATCATTTCCGCAATTTATTTTACAGTCGTTTACATTACCGCATTTATTTTATCGCATTGCATTCCGTCCAAAGGAAAACCCTACACATGATTCAACAATCGTGTGTAGTGCACATCATTTGCATCATATTCCCCATGATCCTTGATTCCATTCAAGTTGATCTCTAGGATAGATCCTACCTCATAGGAAGGACCATTATCTTTCAAACTTAGATACAAACAAAACAAATTCAAATCAAACAACATTCAAGCACATTAGAGAAAGATGCCAAATCATCTTAAGCGAGATAGAATCTCCACCCCACAACAATACAGTCAATACCGTAGGAACTTTGCCTTAAGAGAGATAGAGGCGTACCTCGTTGATCCCTATCCGAGTACTTGAGCCTTTCTCTTAAGATGATGCAAAGACTATTTTCTTACAATTTGTGGCGGTTAAATCTCCCTTAAAATGACAACTCATCCCCTTCTCCTAAAATCAATCAACCAACTACCCTAAACCCGTAGGAACTTTGACCACAATCAAAGAACTCCTCATACCCTTTAGGGGAACTACAAATACTCTGATTCCACTCCCGTAAGGATATGTAGGCATGAGATGCGACATCTTATCGAGTATACTTAGAAATAAACCCCTAGGTCTTTCAACCTTTAAGCAGATAAACACTTAGCAATAAACAAACATAAAACAAGAGGTTCCTGTAGAGTACTACAGAAACTTAGGATGCTAGTACCTTCCCTAAGTTTAACCAACCCCCAAACCTAAAATAATCTAACCTTGCATTTGCATTGCATTGTGGAAATTTCGATCTTTATCCCTTCCTTTGGAAAAATCAAAGTTCGGTTGCAAATGAATAAGATTCAAACTAATCAATAGTTTGGTATCCGAATTTTACCGCGGCAGAAATGGAGACTTCACTGGGGACTCTCTTTGTGGGTTCCCCTATCTTGTTTATTTACTTGTTATATATTTGCTTATCTGTTTATTTGTATAATTGTTTAATTGTTGCTTTCTGGGGTGATCCTTGAGTGGTGAGAAAAAGTCCTACACCCGGACTTGAGTGAACTTAAGATAGGATAGTGATATGTTCGACGAGACTTATAGGGAGTGAGTCCTGACTAAGTTGACTTGAAAATCACGCTCAGTTGAGACCCTTTCAAAAATGGTTCGGTTGAACGAGTAATCGTGAAGACTTTTACTATTTTCGATTGGAGTCTATGATATTGAGGACCGTAGTTACCTTAACCCCACTTTGGCCTTTATTAGGACGTAGTGTGAGGCTATGAGGGAGTAAGTTCCGAAATAGTGCTACGCGATACTACACTCAAAAGAAGTTCTCTTGAGAATATTATTAATCCTCGAGTTAGTTGGGAAATTGATAATATCTGATAGATGGACTAATGACTTTGGGACCTCCTTAGAACCTTGTTTTGCGGGTACCATCCACCTCTAGTCCTTGTCCTTTGGGAATGGGTATACCCTTGACTCCATGCTCGTTGCAAACCTAGGATCTTTGTTTATCTTTGTGTCCTTATGTGCTTACTTGTGTTTGTTGCACTCATATAGCATC